TGCTCTTGGGAGGTCGAAAAAACACAAAAACCCCCTCACAGCAGGCTACTGCCGGAGCGGGAAAAAAGTGGAAAATGTCCTCCCGGCCCCGACTGGCGACCGAGCAAAGCTCAGGAGCAACTGTCCTTTTCCAGCGCTAGGTAACGATACCGATGTTAGATATTATTACATATTATTAGTTATTATCGCCCTGCAGGTGTTTGTTACGGAGTTAAACGCGGAGAGAAAACGCCGCTCACGCGACACCCGCAGCTCACTGTCGGTAATAATCACGCTATTAATTAACAGACAGGACAGACAAGCACTCACACTGATCGAAATAAGAACAATAAATAGAAATAAAACAGCCACCCACGTAAACAGGTAAAGCACACAAATACTCAAAATATACGTTCAAAATACGTTCAAAACATTCCAAAAAAACAATCCCAAAACAATCGCTACAGCTCAACACCACTCTCTCGCACCACTCTTGCAGCAATCCCAGCAATCCTTGCGCACAACCAATCAAAGCAGGTGACCAGAGGCTTCACCAGAGCCATGTATCAGAGGAGGGAGGGTATTAGTGGTGTTTCTCCTTTCTTCAAGGATGTTACCAAGCTGGCGCAGGACCTGGTTATGCCTCCAGTTGTAACGGCCTTGGGACAGGCTGGTCTTACAACCGGTCATGATGTGCCTCAATGTTGCTGGTGTTTGGCAGAGTGCACATGTAGGGTCATCTCCTCTCCACTGATGTAGATTTTTTGGAGTTGGAAGAACATCATATGTGGCTCTGATGATGAAGCTGAGTCTGTTTCCTTCCATTTCCCAAAGATCTCTCCAGGTGAGTTTACTATGTTCTAGGTTTTCCCACTTGGTCCACTGTCCCTGTTTGGCCTGTGATACTGCCTTTGCACCTCTTTCTGCCTCCTCTTGGCGCCGAACTTCCTCCACCACCTGTTACCTTCTCTCGGTGGGTGTAGCCTTGTGCCTATTGGTCGACTTGCACCAAATCCAAGTCCTGCTCTTCCCTGTTGCACTTGCCCTACGATGTCTCCATGCCTAAGAGCAGATTTTGCTCGCTCCAAAGGCTCTGATTGAGTCCATTTCCTCCCAGTTGCTAGTCTGGGTGCAGCTGCTCGTATTGCTGCATCATTAGATTCAGACAGAGTCATGTCCAGTCTCACTTTGGTACACTTATATTCTTCAGTGATGCTGGAGACTGGCAATTCCAGAGCACTACCTCCATACAAGCCGATAGTGCTGAGGCACTGTGGGAGGCCAAGCCATTTCTTGATATATGAGCTGATGGTTCTCTCCAGTTTCTTGACTTTGGTGATTGAGACCTCGTAGACCGTTAGGGGCCACATTAGGCGGGGGAGAAGTCCAAACTGCAGACACCACAGTTTCAGCTTGCCAGAAAGTGGGGTCTTGTCTATGGTGATAAGGCCTTTGATGGTTTCCTCCCATATTTGACTGCTCTGATCTGAGTCTTTAAGACTTTGATTGTACCATCGTCCCAGGCTCTTGACTGGCTGCTCTGACACCTATGGAATGGGTGTGTCACCAATGTGAAATCTCTGGTCTATTAGTTTTCCTCTGATGATGGATATTCTCCTAGACTTGGTGCACTGAAAAAAATGGCAATGGGGGATTGTTGAATTTGCAAAAATGCAATTTATTAACGCTAGTCCCTTTGAACGTTTTTATACTAATTTTATCGAGCAACCCGACGGAGAGGAAAAGTTAGTGGTAAAGTTGAAGGTGGTTAACCACCTTCATGTATTAATGTTTTTTTTTTTTTATTGTGTGTAGACATTCAAGCATATTTTAAATCTCTCGCTTTCTCTCTCTCTCTAAGTTATAGAGATAGACATTTTTTTCCTCTGTAGGATGACTAATACCGTAACGTTAGGTTTTGTGTCAGGGAGTGATTTATGGCGCGAACTAATTTGGGGATGAGGGAGGGAATGCTACTTACAAAACGTTAAAATGCCCTCTGTCTGAGCATCTTTTACATTTTATCATAAAGAAAATACACGTTATTCTGTAGACAGCGTTTATTGCAAATTTTCTGTCAATGTAAGTTCTTTCTATCGACCGGCCTAACAATAATTGCAACGAATGGGGAAATCCTGTCAGGGAGTGTGGCGCTGATTTACTTGAGATGGGGGAGGGTAATTTACAGATCGTTAAAATCTCATGAAATGATTGCCACACT